ATAGTCCAGTGATTCATTTTGGCTAGAGTGTGGGGTTATTGTGCACATGTGATTTTTAGTGAACTTACAGGACTAGACTGATTTTATTTTTTGGCTTTCATGTCATAATGAAAGTATGTTGATGTTAAAGTCCATACGTGTTTGTTTAATTAGATTCAGGACTCAATGTGACAAATTTTGGTAAGAATTTTGGGGAAAATAATTCTATGATAGCATATTTTAGACAGTCTTTCTCTGTTGTCTTGTGGTTGAGTGTTGTGGCATCAGCCTAGCTCACAGCAATCTCAAACTTCTGGGCTCAAAGGATCCTCTTACCTCATCCTCCCGAGTAGCTAGGACTATCGGTAGGATAACTCAAGGTAGGATAGATAATTTTTTCTCTTTTATGTGTTAATATGTTAAAAATAAAATAATTTTGAGTTATAGAAATTTTTCTGGATGAAATAATTTTGAAAATTAAAGCAAGTAAAACTAAGGTGAGGGAGATCCTCCCTCCAACTCCGTTCTTTTCTTGTCATTTTTTTTTCCTAATAAAATCGTAGTTCCATTGATTTAAGACTGTTGGGATTATGAGTACTTTTATACTGCCATGATATATCATTCTCACCCCAGCTTTGCAATAAAAACTCAAAAAAATTATATAGAGCTTAGAGAATTGAGTCAGAAGCAGCGTAAGGGTTTCCTTTTGACAACCTATTTGCTATCAGTGATTAATCCATTCAGCAGATAAATGAATCATCAGAGTGTCTACCACATCCTAGGTAGTAAATATATGCTATATCTATTTTTTTTTTTTTGTAGTTTTTGCCCAGGGTGGGGTTTGAACCCTCCAACTCTGGTATAAGGGACCGGCACCCCACTCTCTTTGAGCCACAGGCACTGCCCATAAGCTACATCTAGTTTTTCTACTCATTTTAAGCCCTCATAAAATATGTACTTACATTGTATTACTTATATTTATGAAAGATGAAATTTGTGCCAAAAGAGGCTAAGAGGGATCCTGTCCAGAGGTTATAAAACTAGTAATCAGTCATAGCTGCCTATTTGACTTGTGACGGTCAATCCTAGTTAAGGGAAGTAAAAAATAGTAAAATTATAATCCTTAAACTCATTGAAACATTTCACATATATTTTTCTGTCATACGATAAACACTTACTGTTCCACTGTTGAAGTCTCTGTTAGAGTCTCAGGGGTTAACGGTCTTATAAAGGAGATGAATTATGAACAAAATATTGAATGTGATGTATCTTAAGAGGAATGAGTAAAATAATCATAATTTGAGGTAAAAGGAAAGTTATTTTGATAGCCTTAATCAGAAATGAATAATATGTGAGTGAACACTTTGTGCAAAAGCACTTAGTAAATTTGACTTAGATTGTTTTAATAGTTAAAGGGAAACTCTGGTGGGTGTATTTGGATTTGGCTTAGCCAGTGAGTGGTGAGTATCTGAAGGTAATGCTAAAGTTTTTGTTAGCATAATACTAAGTAGGGTGGTGCCTGTGTCTCAAGGAGTAGGGCACTGCCCCATATACCGGTGGTGGCAGGTTCAAAACCAGCCCTGGCCAAAAAATGCAACAACAAAAAAGAATAATACTAAGGAATGCAGAAAATAGAGACTCCAGCCAATATTCCCTAATTATATATTTATCAGAAATAATCACCTTGGGATTGTGTCTTTCTAGTGATTGTGCTGTGCTATAATGAGCCCCTTACGGTTCTCATTTAGTTAGAGCTCCCATTTGAGACTGCACCCCCAGTACTAGCCAAGGTACGCCCGTGACAGAGAGGGAGAGATACACATGCTAGGCAGTGGGACTGTGGGACGGTGGAGAGGAAGAAGAGGAAAGGGAAGAGGAATATTTTATGCTTGTAAATAAGCATTAGAAGTCTGGAAGAAATCACTCCTTAGGAGAGGAGTATAACTGAATGGTAAGAGTAGAGAGGAAGGGTAATTTTGCTTTTTTCCCCCCTTATTTACTTGCATCATAATGTGATAGCCAATACGCATTGGTTATTATGGGTCAGGATGAAAAACATTTTATTCTGGTCTTTTGTCCTATAGAAGTCTTAAATTTTGATGTAGTCATATTTGTAAATCTTTTCCTTCATGGCTTTATTCAGGTTAAGTACTTTTTTTGTTTCTAGAATTTTTTTTTTGAAAGTCTAGAATGTTGAATTTTTATGAAGTGATCTTTTATTATTTGTCTAAAGGAGTGATCATAATAATTTGCTAGTATGAGGAATGGTTTTAATATATTTCTAAATATTGAACCTTCCTTGAATTCTTTGGCTAAAATCTACTTGGACATGATTTATTATCTTTTTGAAAAACTAGTGATTTAAGTTTGTTGTTAATTAGAATTTAGTGTGTATCCTTCCTTTCTGTCTCATTGTTGCCCTTCCCCTCCTCCTTCCTGTTTCATTATCTTTCTCTTTGTCTCTCTCTCTCTCTCTCTTTTTTTTTTTTTTTTTTTTACAATTTTTGGGTTAGGATTATGTTGTTTCATAGGACGATTTTTCTCCTTTGCTATATGTACCTATCATGGTTATACAAATAAATTGTGCAAAAATATTTGGTAAAATTTTTTTCCCATTAATTTATTTAGGCCTAGCACCTTTGTTAGGCTAGGTTTTTGCCCTGTAGTTTTTTCTTGTAATTATTTGTTATGTTCAGGTTTCTACTTGTTTTTAAGGGAATTTTACTAATGTATAAGTTCTTAAAAAATTGTCCAATTCAACTACATCTTTGCATACATTGGATTAAATATATGTTGTTTTCTTATAGTTTAAGAAAACTCTGTGTCTTCTTTTCTTTTTTTTTTTTTTCTTCTAATGCTATGAACTTTTTTGGGGCAGAGTTTCACCTTGTTGCCCTAGGTTAGAGTACCATGGCATAAGCCTGGCTCATAGCAACTTCTAACTCCTATGTTCAAATGATTCTTCTGCCTCAGCCTCTCCAGTAGCTGGGACTACAGACCCCTGCCACAACACTGGCTACTTTTTCTATTTTTAGTATAGACAGGGTTTTGTTCTTGCTCAGGCTGGTCTCAAACTCCTGAGCCCAAGGAGTCCTCTTGCCTCAGCCTCCCGGAGAGCTAGGATGACAGGCATGAGCCAGCATGTATAGCCGTTTTAGTCTTTTTTTTTTTTTGAGACTGAGCCTCAAGCTGTCCCCCTTACGGCAACCTCCAACTCCTGGGCTCAAGCGAGTCTCCTGCCTCAGCCTCCCAAGTAGCTGGGACCACAGGTGCCTGCCACAACACCTGGCTATTTTTTAGTTGCAGCCGTCATTGTTTTGGTGGGCCTGGGCTGGATTTGAACCCGCCACTTTAGGTGTATGTGGCTGGTGCCTTAGGCACTTGAGCCACAGGCGCCGAGCCTAGTCTTTTTTTTAATCTTCCTCACACTTGTGGTCTATTTTATTGTCTTTTCCAAGAACAGCTTTGGGTTGATTTTAGTAATTGCCATCTCTATTCTCCATTTTAGCTTTGTTATAATTCATTTCTACTTTTATATTATTGCTTTTATTTTATTTTATTGCTTCTGTTTCTCTGGATGAGTTTAATTTTTATTTTTGAACTTTTTTCCTGTGATCATTTCAAACCCAAGGAAAGTTCTCTGAATATTCTTATTTATGCATGTTATTTTTTAAAACCACTTGAATATAAATTAGGGGCATTTTGTCCAGTTACTTCTAATTACTTAAGTGTGTATGTTCTGAGTACCATAGTATGGTTGTCAAAATCAGGAAGTTTAACTACGATGAAATACTGTTATTTAAGCCATAGTCCATGTTTATATTTCATCAGTTGTACAATAATGTCCTTTATAATTTATTTCCTATTTTAGGATATAATCTAGGCATGCATTGCACTAAGTTGTTGTTTTGTTTCTTTAATGTTATTTAGCTTGGAATGTTTCATTGGCCTTTTTTGTGTGTTTCTTGACCTTGACATTTTAAAAATAAAAGCTACTTGTTTGTTTGTTTCATGTTTTGTTTTTTTTTTTTTTCTCTTCCAGAATAGCCTTCATTTGGGTTTGTCTGATTAGGTTAGCTCTGGTTATATAATTTTTATTAGAAATACTCCAGAAGTGATATGTATCCTTAGTGTATAATATCAGAGGTCATCTGATGTTGTTTATGGTGATGTCTGTAAGGTTTCTCGGCTCTGAAGTTATTATTTCCTTTCATAATTAGTAAGTAATTTTGTTGGGACTCATGTTGAGAGAGGTAAATATCTATTCTTCAGTAACCTTCACTTTTGGTTTTGTTACCCTATTTCTCACCTGTTTTTGAAAGCTTAGTTTATTTCAGCCTGTTTTATTTTCTAATGTACTTAATTAAGATCATACATTTTTCTTAATGTATCACTTTGACATATTGTCTAGGAGTACTTAAAGTTGGGTTTAGGATGAAAGGAGCCAGTAAGTTGGAAGATTGTTTATAATAATGTATTAATAGGGGCTTGGCGCCTGTAGCTCAAGCGGCTAAGGCGCCAGCCACATACACCAGAGCTGGCAGGTTCGAATCCAGTCTGGGCCTGCCAAACAACACTGATAACCACAACCAAAAAATAGCTTGGTGTTGTGGTGAGTGCCTGTTGCTTGGGAGGCTGCTAGCTGCTTGGGAGGCTGAGGCAAGAGAATTGCTTAAGCCCAGGAGTTGGAGGTTGCTGTGAGCTGTGATGCTACAGTACTGTACACAGGGTGACAGCTTGAGGCTCTGTCTCAAAAAAAATTGTATTACTAGGTAACTGGTAATGGGAACTTAAAAGGGGTATTTTAAAGGTGCCAAAGGTGCCCCAATTCACCCCTTAATGGAATGTTTCCAGTCTTGCTTTAAAGAACAAAGAATACGGTTTTCAATGATCATAACTGGCATACCTATAAGTTGCTGAAAATTATGAATTAAAGAGGTTTATTTCTTCAGTGTACCTAGCAGCTTGGGACTTGTTTAATACACATACAACTATCTCATGTTTTTGTCTTACCATTTCAGGAGCAGTGGCAGTGGCATGGAAGAATCCTTTTTCTAGCTGGTTTACTGCTATGCTCCACTGCTTTGGTGGAGGAATTTTATCGTGTATACTGCTTGCAGAGCCTCCACTGAGGTTTCTTGCAAACCACACTAATATATTACTGGCGTCTTCAATCTGGTAAGCTGCCATTATGGCGAACTATGGGACATATAAAAAATTGTTTCATAAATTATTTAGTAAAATAGAATTTTTTTTCTTTGAAAAATATTTTATGTTCTTGAAAAGTTAGTGCATGTGCAAGGAAGGAACCCAAATGATGCCAAAGGCTTTAAGTGCAAAATATGTTCTTTCTTGCCATTCTCCCCTTATCTTCTTCCAAAAGCTTGGTGGGGGGCAAAGGTAACAAGTCCCCCACCCCCATGAACTGCACCAGTGACCCAGCGGATACACAGGAGTGAGTGGAAGGCTTCTAGAAAGAGGAAGGCCTTGCTTTTCAATTTGTTCTTTTGTAGAAGGATTCTGAAAGAAAACCAACGAAGTACACCTAAGCTATCAAAAGAAATTAACTTATGTATCTTTAGTAGAAACATTTCAAATACTAAATATTTGGTCCCAGCTGTTTAGCTTGTGAACCTAAACCGAATACACGCATCCAGCATGTCTGCTGTACTCCTGCTCACTCCACTCTCACCGTAGAGCTTTGCTAGTTCTTGAACATATAAGGTCTTCTAGCTCTGTGCCTTTATACTTAATTTCCTCTCCCTGTTCTATTTTTTCCCCCAGAAGACTTATGTTTTCTTTTATCAGAGAGTCTTTCCCTGACTGAAATAGTACCTCTTCTCCCGTGACTGTCACATCATCCTTTGTTTTTTTTCTTGATTTCTTAATCCTGATTTCTCTTAGTCCACTAGAAAAACAACCTAGCAGAGCAGGGATTTTATTTTGTTAACTGTGTACCAACTACTGTTCTTGATTTAGTAATTACGTTTTAAAGAAACAGATTGCTATGCACTGTTACATACCTTTCAGTTTGAGCCAAGAAAGCATGTTTAGAGACAAAAACTTATATTTCATTTAAGGGATCAACTCATCAAATTCTGTAATCCCTAACTACTCAAATACATTATAGTATTTCATTTATAAAACTTTCAAAAACAAAAATAAAGATATAAATATATGCTAAAACTGTGCATAAAGCAAAGACTTGTGTTTTTTTAGATGGGATGTAATTTTTTTTTCTTTTTCTTACATATACATGTGTATGTTAGGTTTCCACTTTTGCCTTCACAGAATTAAAAGGCTAAATTTAATGACAATAATAATATTTAACATAAGGACTAAGAACAGAAACCTCATAAAGAATGAAAGAAGATAAATACATTCAGAAAAAAAATCAGACAATTGCTGCAATGAATAATAGTAATAATGCAAAGAAAGTAACATTCACATTGTCAGATAGAAGTATGTCTATTATAGAATACTTTGATCAGTTAACTTCTTCTTATTTTGTTTTTCCAAAGTCTCAAAAAAAATAGACAACTAATATTTATAAATAAAAGATAATTAAAAAGAAACAGATCATACCAAATCTTATAGACAATAGGGGATGTAATTTTTTAGCTCTACATTATGTTACTAGATTAATCTGCAGGTTTGTGTGTGGCTGTAGTACATTCATTCCCACTATTGGATAATCTGTTATATTAATATCTATATTTTATTCTTTGGTTGATGAACATTTTTGATGGCTGTAGGTGTTTTGTTGGGCATTACAAATCAGGAATAATAACAGCAACCACTTATTATTATTATTTTTTTGCAGTTTTTGGTTGGGGCTGGGTTTGAACCCGCCACCTCTGGCATACGGGGAGGGTGCCTTACTCCTTTGAGCTGCAGGCACCGCCCCACTTATTTTATTATTATTCCACATTTACTATGTCCTAGTTTTCCAAGTACTTTGGATGTATTATTTCACTTAAACCTCACAAGAACCCCGTGAAGTAGGTATAGTACTATTTCATTCTTACTTAACAGATCGTGTAACTAAAGCATGGAGTGGTTAATAACTTGCAGATATTGAGTAGTTGGAGTCATGATTAAAATATAAGGTATCTAATTGTTTAGTTTGTGCTTATGCATTGTATTATTTTATACTCTGGAAATACAATCTTTATTTCTGTCCTCATAGACCCTTAAATATAAAACATTATGCTGGCTTAAAGGCAGAGTATATCTTACTTTTTAAAAAAGTTTTAATATTTAGAACAAATTTGTAATTTTGCTCCATTTGATTTTCTGTTGAGAAATGTTTGGAATTTAAAATCTAGCAAGCAAGGTCATCTTTAGTTCAATAGCTCATAGTACATACATCTGGAGATTAGCGCCATCTACTGGCAAAGAAACTTGGTGTGTTGTGTAGTTTCATTGCTTCTGAGATAGTGTACACTTTTCGTAGGCTTTTTTTTGGTTTGAAAATCTGTTTGGGGGGAAATAAATACTTTATAATTTTTCTATGAATTGATTTGTATGCCTCAGTGATATCCTTAAACTTCCAAGTATTAATGATCATAGATTCCACATTTGTGGAATTACATTTAATGAGAAAAAAATATAGTTTTTATAGGTATCATTTATCTGTCAATCTTTTTCAAAGCTTATACATAAAGTTAATAACTTGTTAGAGGAATAAGGCAAGACAAAGATGTCACTGGACTAACATGCACTATATATTTATTTTATCATTGTGTTTTGGCTTAGTTAAGTGATAGTGTCTTTGATAGAGGAGTGGAATTAATATTTGAGTGAAAATAGAGTTCTTAGTGACTGATCCTGGGAAGCTACTCTCTGTTCAAATGTTGGTTTAACCCAAATTTTGCTCTCATCTTTTCTTAAACTGGCTTAGCTTTCATTTGTTAGTGAATTAGGATCTTCTTTGTATCCTGCTTTAGGTCAACTTTCATTCTTTTGTTGTTTTTTTTCCTCTTCATTAGCTTAACCTATATGAGTAAAAAATGTATGCAAAATCAATTATCTTTTTATTTCATTTCTTCTTTTCTTCTGATATGAATTCTTTAGCCACTTTACAAATTAAAGTGGTTTGACAATTTTAGCTAGGTTTGACAATTTTAGTTAAAGGTGAAATTATAGTCTTTATAGAAGGAGAGACACTTGTTACTTCCTTCATTAAGGGAATATTAAAAAGCTACTTTGTGTTATAGAACAGGAATTGTTTTTTAGGGAGATTTTGGTTTGATATGTCTACTTGTAAGTCTAGTGAGCCCCCCAAACACTTGTTCTTTCGGCTCGGTGCCTGTAGGTCAGCAGGTAGGGCGCCAACTACATACACTGGAGCTGGTGGGTTCGAATCCAGCCCTGGCCTGCCAAACAATAATGACAACTACAACCAAAAAATAGCCAGGCATTGTGGTAGGCACCTGTAGTCCCAGCTACTTGGGAGACTGAGGCAAGAGAATTGCTTTAAGCCCAAGAGTTTGAGGTTGCTGTGAGCTGTGATGCCACGGCACTCTACCCAGGGCAACAGCTTGAGACTCTGTCAAAAAAAAAAAAAAAAACCCCACAAAAAAAAAAACGCTTGTTCTTCCCCACCCCACAGTGATTTCACACTCAAATGAGAAAAGTTTTTTTTTGTGTAAAATGTTAGCTTATTGTAGTTATACTTTAGAAATAATAGAATAAAATTTATGTATAAAGAAATAGCAGTAATTATAAATTTTATATCATATGTGCCATATGTCACATAGTTGAATATAAAAAGTCTAGTATTGCTGGTGTAATAGTATAAGTTTTTATCCTGATGTTAAAGATAGGCTCAGTACAGGGAATGAGAATGGGGTCATTTGCAATATTATTGGTTGTGTTTGTTTGGGATAAAATATTGCTCTGTCACCTGGGCTAGAGTGCAGTGGCTTCACCATAGTTCACAGCAACCACAAACTCTTGGGCTCAAGAAATCCTCTGCCTCAGCCTTCCAAGTAGCTGTAACTATAGGTGTGCGCACCCACCATGTGTAATTGTCCATTATTTTAGTAGAGATGAGGTCTTGTCCTTTCTCAGGCTTGTCTCAAAGTCTTGACTTCAAGTGATCCTCCCATCTTGGCCTCTCAGAGTGCTAGGATTACAGGTATGAGCCACACACCTGGCACATTTGTAATATTATTATTTTTATTGTTTCCTTTTTGAATATTTTACTTTTGAGCATCACTTACTGCTAAAGCAAAAACAACCCCCTCTCCTTAATCTATAATGGATACCAAAATATTTTTATTTCATTAAATATTCATTACTTAAGTAGATGTACTCTTCATATTTACATTACCCACCAGTGTCCTGGAAATTAGGTTTATATTTAAAAAGAATAGTATACAGAGACTTTCAAATATTATATGAACATGTTAAAATTTTAGATTATACCATTTCCATAAATCTTATATGAACATGTAAAATTTTAAATTAAAGCAATCATTTTCACAATTTTTTTTACTTCTCTCAGATAATTTATTCCTTTTCTCAAGCTCTTTAGATATCAACTGATTCTTTGATTTGCTTTGTTTTGTATTTTGCCTATAGACTGATTGTGAATAAATGATTTAATTCAGGGCTACTTTATATCATGCTGTGTTTTAGGTTGGGGATAATAAAATGAACGATTTCTGTCATCTAAGGACTATGATTTTCTTTTTTTTTTTTTGAGACAGGGCCTGGGCAGAGTGCCGTGGCATTACAGCTCACAGCAACCTCCAACTCCTGGGCTCTAGCGAGTCTCCTGCCTCCGCCTCCCAAGTAGCTGGGACCACAGGCGCCCGCCACAAACGCCCGGCTATTTTTTGGTTGCAGCTGTCATTGTTGTTTGGCGGGTCCGGGCTGGGGATTCGAACCCGCCACCTTAGGTGTACGTGGCTGGCGCCTTAGCCGGTTGAGCTATAGGCGCTGAGCCAGGACTATGATTTTCTTATGAGCATAACAGTCTTTATAAAGAAAAATGTATGAAGAGCTATTTTGAGGCATAGGAACCCATAGGCTTAGTTGTACAGAGCCATCAGAATATAGTCTGAGCTGAGAAGATCAAATAAAACAAAACCCGCAAAGTCAGTGGGTAGTATTAAATGGGACCTCAAAGAATAGGGAGGAATTAGTAAGTGGAGACAAAGCAGAAGGAATACTGTAGGTTAGACAAACCACTGTATCTTGTGTTCAGTCTTTGAAGCAATATTTTGGCCAACATTTCATATTCCATGAACTTTCAAGAATTCTGACTTTATTCATCATGAATTGCAGTAAGATTAATAGCTTCTTTTGAAAGAGATATGATACTTCCTTCATGTCTTGTATTTTATATCACCCCATTAAAGAGAGGAAATATTCTGCTTTAAGCATAAAATTGTCTACTGGAGTATTTTAGGAAAGTAGAGGAAAAAAGCAGTGTCTTTTCCAATAGATCCTATTGCTAGTATCTGAACAGATTCTTAGAACAAGTGACATTTAAAAAATAATTTGCAACATAAGGGGTGAATTATTCCTTAATCACAGTTTAATTTTGTTAAAACTTAAGCTTAGTCAACTAAAGACTAAGCCAGTGGTTCTCAACCATCCTAATGCCGCGTTGTGTTTTCACTGTTACAAAGGGGTCGCAACCCACAGGTTGAGAACTGCTGGATTAAGCTTCATGTTTTTCATCTGTATGAAAATGTTTTTCCTTAACACAAATCCACCTCCCTATGAACTGTCAGTTGTTTTTGTGGTGTATGTCCTGCACAAAGGGGCACGGGTGACGAAGTTAGTGAAAGTTGAAGTGTAGCCCTGCTCAGTTACCAAAAGCCCTTTTCTCTAATTCATTTTTCCTGAAGACAGAAACAGTGTATGGCTAGAGGAGTCCCCATCCCAGAAGTGATTATACATTTGCTTTATTTTGTTAGTGGATTTAGCACTTAGCTTCTAGAAGGGCATTGGCACAAATTAGGAGTTCATGAAAATTTATGTTCTCCTTTGATTGTGACTTTTTGACAGATTACATGTTTTGTGTGTTTTAAAAAATTGACACCCTACTCAATCTGTGCTTTTATTGAATTCAAGTTCAATGTGTATGTGAATAATTCCATTTGTTGTGTTTTGTCTAATTACTATTGCTGATAGGTAAGATTTTTATTTCTGTTCTTCTGATTCCATTCATGTAGTAAAATATTTCTATTTTAATTTCAGGTATATTACTTTTTTTTGCCCATGTGACCTGGTTTCCCAGGGCTATTCATTTTTACCTGTTCAACTTCTGGCCGCAGGAATGAAGGAAGTGACCAGAACTTGGAAAATAGTAGGTGGAGTCACACATGCTAATAGCTATTACAAAAATGGCTGGCTAGTCATGATAGCTATTGGATGGGCCCGAGGTAATACTAACAATATGTGCTCATAAATGTTCCATTACTGGTGTGCCATTACAGAATGATTCTCTAGTTACTTTAATGTGAGTCACATACTTTAATTAAACAGTCTTTTTGGAAAGTAAAAACCTGTTTCTTTTTAGTTAATTTAAAACTAGTACTTTTTACTAGTACTGGTCATCAGCCATTATTTTGTGCTTGGATGTTTTTATGTAAAATTTTTATGATTGGTTTGATTAGGAGCTCAGAATCAGAGGGATTCATAGTTAATTAAGTTATAGTGCCACCATAAATACAGGTTTACGTAAGAAAGTATGTGGCACATGTAAGGAAAAAATACTACTCTGCCATTTCTGTGCTGAATTACTGGAAATATAATTTGGTTGATTATGACTTCATTTTTGTCTTTGTATCACTTACTTTTGTTGTTTTGTATGTAGGAATTTAATAAATTTCTCTTTTTGTTACAATGTACTTCACTTAAAACCAATCATGTTAGGAAAGGAAGTGATAAAACAGAATTTAATTTTTCACTTGTGAAACAAACCTCTGGCCATATCTTTCTGCCTGAGGCCTCAATTTTAACCCTAATTATGGTACAATAATAGTTGCCATGCTGGTGAAAGAGAAGGATTGCGATTGTTTTCGTACCTTAAATATACAAGGCATTGTTTGCCTTTCTCCAAAGAATTATATTTGGGACTCTTCATGGAATTTTCTTTTTTTTTTTTTTTTTTTGACAGAGCCTCAAGCTGTCACCCTGGGTAGAGTGCAGTGGCATTACAGCTCACAGCAACCTCCAACTCCTGGGGGTCATCTTCTTGCCTCAGCCTCCCAAGTAGCTGGGACCACAGGCGCCCGCCACAGCGCCCAGCTATTTTTTGGTTGCAGCCATCATTGTTGTTTGGCGGGTCTGGGCTGGGGATTCGAACCCGCCACCTTAGGTGTACGTGGCTGGCGCCTTAGCCGGTTGAGCCATAGGCGCCGAGCCTCTTCATGGAATTTTCAATCAAGGGATATAATTATAGCTTTCCTCAAATATCTTTTCAAGAAAATTTGGCTAAATATTCTTGTTTTATTTTCTTATTTTTAGGTGCAGGTGGTGCCATCATCACGAATTTTGAGAAGTTGATAAAAGGAGATTGGAAACCAGAAGATCATGAATGGCTGAAGATGTCCTAGTAAGTTGATTAAATTAAACACATACTGAGACGTGGATTTGTATTCTCACATATATGTATTTCTATATTTCTTTTTAAGAAAATTTTGGGGACTCTAAATGCGTATGAAATATATTAGAAAAAAACAGCAGTGATAATGGGAAGAGAAGTAATAAATTTTATTCTTTTAAAAAGTTTGCTGTCTCAAATATATTTTAAAATAAATATTGGGTAGCACCTGTGGCTCAAAGGAGTAGGGAGCTAGCCCCATATGCCGGAGGTGGTTGGTTCAAACCTAGCCCTGGCCGAAAACTGCAGGAAAAAAAAAATTAATTCCCTTCTATGTGGGCTCCTCCCCTTAGAAAACAAAACCAAATAAAAACCTCTGGATTATTGTACAGTTGTGGCAAGAGTGTATGTTTATGGAAGGAGTATATAGAAACAGACTTCTGGGTGGAAAGAATCACTTATACGCTCATGGCATTTTCATGAGTGCCTATAGCATAACCCAGATTTCAGATTATATGTAGTAAAATGTAATAAAATATCAAGTTTAAGGGAACAATCAATCATAATTATGTCATAAATCACTGTGAGTTACTTTAAAAAGGACAGTTGAGGCTGGTCATGATAGCTCATGCCTGTAATCCTAGTACTGTGGGTGACTGAGGTGGGAGGATTGTTTTTAACTCAGGAATTTGAGACCAGCCTGAGTAAAGCAAAACTCCATCTATACTAAAAAATAGAAAAATTAGCTGGGCGTGGTGGTACATGCCTGTAGTTCCAGCTACTCTGGAGGCTGAGGCAGGAGGATTGTTTGAGCCCAGGAGTTTGAGGTTTCTGGGAGCTAGTCTGAGGCCATGGCATTTTAGCCCAGGTGACAGAATGAGTCTGTATCAAGAAAAAAAATAAACATAAGGACAAGATTAGAGGAAATAACCCATTCATACCTTTGTATCTAAGAGAATCTTAAAGGTCAGTGTCTTTAGAAAACAGGTTCTAAAGACACTGACCTAGTCTTAAATATGTCACTGATAAACATATTTCTGATATACGTGAAAGTGAAGTCAAGAAATGACTGTTTCCACAATTTGAGAAGGATAAGTCTTAGAGAATAGAGGCCATAACATGCAAGGCAAGGAGAGACGACATGTAAAAATAAGCTCATTTTCTAATTAAAAATGAATTGAAATAGATTATAAATGGATTAAATTTATAATTTAAAATGAAGATCATAAAAGTGAAGATCAAAAAGCAGTATGATGAAGTACTTTTAAGTGAACTAACAAATTCCAGGATATTTAAATTAGAAAGTCCCCTTTAAAGTTTGAGTGAGATAGTTTAGAAATAGAACAGAGGCGGCTTTGATGGATGATAAGTTATAAATCAGATATTGGTGTATTCACAGAAAGTTTCCTTGTTTTAAGTACATGCCTTGAAACATCTTTCATAGTGCATTGTTTTTGGTTATAACTAAAAAAAAAGATACTTCTCTGTTCACAGTTTTGCAGTGATTCCCCTGAATGACCAGTAAGACCCGTGAAGATCTAACTCTTCTGTACCCAGTTTGCCTTCGTCTCCTCTCTTGTCATTTTCTCCTTGGCTCATTCTGCTCTATCTTAGAGCAAGCCAGGTATGGTCTGGTTTAGCTCTAGCTTTTCTCTCTGCCTAGAATCTTTTCCCCCAAATGGCGGACTCCCTTGTCCACTCTTTTATCTGTCTTCAGTGCTTTTCTTCTCAGTGAGGACTACTCTTCTTAAATTTGTTTTTCTTTTTTTCCACAACGTTTATCACTTTCTAAAATATTCTGCAATTTACTTATTCATTATGTTCATTGTCCTCTGCCCTTGGCTCCTCTGCCTACACTTCAAAGAATACAAAATGCCAAGGACAGGGATTTCTGTCTTTTTTTATTGCTCTTTGTCCCATGAACCTAACACACAGACACATAAGGCATATTAGATAAATGTATGAATTATCAACAGGTGGGTCAGGTGAGATAGATCTTTGGTGTCTTAGGATATGTTATGTATATGTGTACAGTTGCTTTACAACGGGGATACATTCTGAGAAATGTGTCACTGTGTGATTTTTGTCATTGTGCAAACATCCCAGAATGTACCTACACTTCAAACCCAGCTGGTATAAGCTACTGCGTATCCAGGTTATATGTATAGCTTATTGCTTCTAGACGATAAACCTGTAGAGCATGTACTGGACTGAATGCGGTAGATAATTATAACAGTGTATCTAAACATGGAAAAGGTACACTAAAAATAGGTGAAAGATAAAAAATGGTATACCTGGCTAGCACCCTTAACTTGAATGGAGCTTGTAGGACTGGAAGTTACTCAGAGTTGAGTCAGTGAGTAAGTAGTAAGTGAATGTGAAGGCCTAGGTTAGGATGTTACTATATAAACACTACACTTAGGCTGCACTGGATTTATTTTAAAAAAGTATTTCTTCAATAGCAAATTAAGCTTATCTTATTGTAACAAACTTCAGGTTAATATGAGGGTACAGACAACTAGGTTACAGTATTTGCATTTGTGAGGAAGAGTTTGGTGTGGCAGATGCCTTTCCATTGTGCCCTTAATACACTTTTTAACTTTTTGACTCTTTTGTAATAATATTTGGCTTAAAACAAACACATTGTACAGTTGTACAAAATATTTTCTATCTTTATATCCTTATTTTATAAGCTTTTTTCTATTTCTAAAATTATTTATTTGTTTTTTAGTTCTGAAACTTTTGTTAAAAACTAAGACACCCACACAGGATTGGTATCATCACACAGATTGAGAGTCTTCTACTTGCACGTTTTGTCGTTTGGGGCAATAACATGCATGGAGCTGTCATCTCCTATGATAACAGTGTCTTCTTCTGGAATACCTCCTAAAGGAACTTTCTAGAACTCTTTTACAGTTTACTTTCTTTTTTTTAGTAAGTAGGAGTACACTCTAAAATATTGATAAAAAATAAGGTATAGTGCATACATAACTATAACATATTTATTATTATCAAATATGTGCTGTACATAATTCTGGGTGCTAGACTTTTATACAGCTGGCAGTGCAGTAGATTTGCTTACACCAGCATAATCACAAATATGTGAGTCATGCACCCTGCTGTGATGTTACGATAGGTGCATCACTAGGTGATAGGATGCACTAGTAAAATCTTTCAGCTCCACCTATATATGTGAGATCCATCATTGACCTAAATGTTGCTATGCAGCACATAGCTGTATGTGTGTATATGTCTGTGTATGTGTATATGTATATATAGTTTATCGCCAAATACTTTTATGTATCTGTGATGTCTTTTATCCATGCAGTGCACATTTGTTGAGTGCTTACTGTATGCAAAAAACAATATATGCAAGATTAGGCTCAGCGCCTGTGACTCAAGTGGCTAAGGTGCCAGCCTAAGGTGGTGGGTTGGAATCCAGCCCGGCCCGCTAAACAACAATGACGGCTGCAACCAAAAAATAGCTGGGCGTTGTGGCGGGTGCCTGTGGTCCCAGTTACTTGGGAGGCTGAGGCAAGAGACTCGCTTGAGCCCAGGAGTTGGAGGTTGCTGTGAGCTGTGATGCCATAGCACTCTACCCAGGAGGACAGCTTGAGGCTCTGTCTCAAAAAAAAAAAAATATCTATATATATCTATATATATATCTCCAAGATTAAAGTCTTAGAGAATAGTGTATGAATCAATCAGTGTTCTAGTAGTAAGTGCAGTTGAAATCAGAATCTTAAGCCATTTTCTAAGCCAAGTGTCTTATGCCTGGGCAGTGTAGGTACTTTTCAAAATATATGCTATCACTAATCTTTACAACAAACCTGAGAAAGAGATACTATTTCTAGTTCTTGATTAAAAAACTAAGGCTCTCAGAAGTAAACAAAAAAAAATGCTTAATGTTAAACAGGTAATGAAGATGTTTTTAACATCTTAAATACATTTAAAAATAAATACATTTATTTGAAGAATATGATTTGATGAGTTTACAGATGCATATAATGAAGCAACTACTACCACTACCAAGAATATTTCTGTGAACCCATATTTTCCTGTGTATCTTGCAGTCCATCTCTTTTTCCATCCCTGGCACCAGGCACACATACTGAATCAGTTTGCTTTTTCTAGAATTTTTTAATAAATGAATTTTTATAATATGTTCCCTTTTGTGTCTACTGTCTTTCACTTAACACAGTGATTTTAAGATTGGTCTGCACAGTATGAACTAGTTAATTTCTTTTTGTTGCTGTATTTCATCGTATGGACAGATCACATTTTGTTTATTCAGTCATCTGTTGGTGGACATTTGGATTGATTCTAGTTTCTAGTTATTGTGAATAAAGTTGCTATGAATATTTAAATGTAAGTATATATATGTTTTCATTTTACTTGGGTGAATTTCTGGGACTGGAATGGTTGAGTTGAATATTAAGCATATATTTAATTTTTTGAAAGCTGTCAAGCAGTTTTCCAAAGTGTCTTAGAGTTGCAGTTACTCTGTATTATCTCTAAGACTTGGTATTGTCAATCTTTTTAATTAAGAATTCCAATGGAGAGTGGTGCCTTGTGGCTTAGTGAGTAGGGCTCTGGCCCCATATACTGAAGCTGGCGGGTTCAAACCCGGCCCCAGCCAAACTGCAACAACAAAATAGCTGGGCGTTGTGGTGGGCACCTGTAGTCCCAGCTACTCAGGAGGCTGAGGCAAGAGAATCGCCTAAGCCTGAGAGGTGGAGGTTGCTGTGAGCTGTGATGCCATGGCACTCTACCGAGGGTGACAAAGTGAGACTCTGTCTCTAAAAAAAAAGAATTCCAATGTATATATTTCTCATTGTGGGTTTAATTAGCATTTCCCTGCAAACTAAGGATGTTGAGGATCTTTTCATAAGTCTATTGGCCATTTCCATGTGTGTTTGTATATATCTTTGCCCATTATTTTTTTTGGGGGGGGGTTTATTTGTCTTATTATTGAGTTAAAAGAGTTTTTTATTTTCTTTTAGAGACAAGGTCTGTCTCTGTCACCCAGGCTGCTGGTGTGCAGTGGCACGATCATAGCTCATTGCAGCCTCAAACTCCTGGGACTGCAGGTGCGTGCCACCACACCCTGCTTATTTTTTATAGAGATAGGTCATGCCATGTTTCTCAGGCTGGGCTAGAGCTCCTGGACTCAAGCAATTGTCAGCCTTGGCTTCTTAAAGTCCTGGGATTTAGGCATGAGTCACCATACCTCACCATAAGAGTTCTTTTTTTTTTTTTTTGAGATAGAGTCCCACCTTATGCCCTGAGCAGAGTGCAGTGGTGTCATAGCTCATGGCAATCTTCGACTCTGGCTTGGGTATCCTGCTGCCTCAGTCTCCGGAAGCTGCTGGGATTATAGGTGCTTGCCACGGCACCTGTTGGTTTTTTTTTTTTTTTTAAATGAGTTGGGGTCTCACTCTTGCTCAGGCAAGTCTCAAACTCCTGAGCTCAAGCAGTTCTCCCTCCTCAGCCTCCCACAGTGCTGGGATTACAGGTGTGAGGCACAGCGCCGGGCACCATAAGAGTTCTTTATACACATAAAATAATATACTTAGGGTACTTTCTTTGTCACTTGTGTGTGTGTACTTTTGGTAAAGTCTAATTTAACAATTTTTAATGTTTTTGTATTCTAGCTGGGAGGTCTTTGCCTATTCCAAAGTTGCGAAGCTATTTTTAGATTTTTTAAAAATTTCAATAGATTTAGCGGGTACAGGAGTTTTTTGTTACATGGATGAATTATATAAAGTTAGGGCTTTTAGTGTACCTATCACCAGAATAGTGTACATTGTATCTGATTAGTGTATTTTATCCCTCACTCCCTGCCATTCTTCCCCTTCTTACTTTTCAGTATCCATCACACCACTTTATGACCATTTATAGCCATCGTTTAGCTACCATTTATTTGTAAGTGAGAACATGTGGTATTTGTTTCTCTGCTCTTAAGATACTTCACTTAGGGTAATATTCTCCAATTCTATCTTGTTGCTGCAAAAAACATTATTTCATACCTTTTTATGGCTGAGTAGTACTTTTGCACATACCACATTTTCTTTATCCACTCATCAGATAATGGGCACTTAGGTTGATTTCATATCCTTGAGATTACAAATTGTGCTGCGATAAACATGCATGTGCAGGTGTCACTCTTATAAAATTATTTCTCTTCCTTTGGGTAGATAACCAGTAGTGGGATGTTGCTGGATTGGATTGATGGGTTTACTTTTAGTTCTTTAGATAATCTCTAAAGAGATTATTGTTTTCTGTAGAGTTTTTAATAGTTTACATTCCCAACAGTGTAAGCATTCCCCTGTCACTGCATCTATGCCAACATCTATTGTTTTTTGACTTTTAAACAATGGCCATTCTAGAGGGTCATGGTAGCTCATACTTGTAATCCTAGCACTTTGGGAGGCTGAGGTAAGGGGATTGCTTGAGCTCAGGAGTTCAAGACCAGCCGAAGCAAGAATAAGACCCCCATATTAAAAAAAAATAGAAAATATAGCTAAGTGTTGTGGTAGGTGCCTGTAGTCCTAGCTGCTTGGGAGAGTGAGGCAGGAGATCTCTTGAGCCCAAGAGTTTGAGTTCCATGGCACTCTACCCAGGGTGACAGAGTGAGACTGTTTCAAAAAAAAGGGGGGGGCAAAAAAAGAAAAAGGCCATTCTGACATGGGTAAGATGGTTCTTGTGGTTTTAATTTGCATTTCCCTGATGACTGATGATGTTGAGCATATTTGCATATGTTAATTGGCCATTTGTCTATCTTCTTTTGAAAAATGTCTGTTTATGTCTTTTGCCCACTTTTTGATGGGATTTTTTTTCTTGTCTTGCTGATTTGAGTTTTTTGTAGATTCTGGATATTATTCTTTTGTCGGATGTATAGTTTGTGAATATTTTCTTTCATTCTGCAGGTTGCCTGTTTACTCTTGATTATTTTCGTCACTGTGCCGAAACTTTTCACTTTAATTAAGTCACATTAATTTTTGTTGTGGGCATGTTTGGTCTTGGGATTTTAGTTATAAATTTTTGCCTAAGCCAGTGTCCAGAAGAGTTTTCCTACATTATCTTCTAGAATTTTTATGGTTTCAGGTCTTATATTTAAGTTTTTAATCCATCTTGGATTAATTTTTGTATATGGTGAAAGATAGGGATCCAGTTTTCTTCTTCTGCATATGGCTATCCAGTTTTTCCAGGACCATTTGTTGAATAGGGTGTCCTTTCTCCTGTGTATGTTTCTGTCAGCTTTGTCAAAAATTAGTTGGTCATAGCTATATGGCTTTTTTTCTGGGATCTCTCAGCCTCAGCCTCCCAAGTAGCTGGGACTAGAGGCTCCTGCCATAGCGCTCGGCTACTTTTGGTTATAGTTGCATTGTTGTTGGCGGGCCTGGGCTGGATTCAAACCCGCCAGCTCCGGTATATGTGGCTGGTGCCTTAGCTGCTTGAGCTACAGGTGTGGAGCTGTGAGGACCAAATTAGAGAAAGCTTATATAGTTTTGGTGAATACATACATTGTCATAGACCAAATGTTGATAGAAATATGAATATTAAAGGTATTAGTGAAGATTTGGAAGGAAATGAACATGATATTGCAAATTGGAGGAAAAGTGATGCTTGTCATTATACATAGTGGCAGAAACTTAGTCACACTGTTCTTCACCACTGTTGTGTAGAAAGCTTAACTTGTAAGTAGTAAACTTGAATGTTCTTGCTGAGGATTTTAAGCACAGTATTGAAGGTACATCCTGGTTTCTTGATGCTTACAGTAAAGTGGAAGATGAAAGAACTAAATTTAAGGAATAACTACTGAAAATAAAACAAAACCAGACTTGATGATTTGGGAAATTCTCAGCCTATTTGTATTGCAGAAGGTTATAAAATTAGGAGATTCATTCTTAGTAAAGCCTACTCTGGAGAGAAGGTCAAGGGTTGTAGCTAGGCAGCCTTTTGCCAGTGTTGAAAGGATTAGGCATATGACTCATGGATCCATTCAAAGAGTATAGTAGAAGTCAGGACTAGAGATGAGATTATGAAAGAAAGACCTGTGGAGGATTCTTTTGAGTCATACATAGGAGAACTACAAGGTTTTGGAAATGTTAAATTAGCAGAGACATTGACAGCTTAGACTGTAAGGAGAGACAAGATGAAAAGAAAGAAGGCTGGCTCCCAAAAATCTGTGGACAGGAAATGGTGTGATAAAACTGCTCAGCTGCAAACATGTGTTACCCAAGGGAAAGGAAGAATGACTTCCTGGTGGGAGCTGTGGCCCAGAGGATAGAGTTTCAAGTCACAGAGGAGTATTCCTAAGCCTTGAAACCTAAGTGAGTTTGCCCCAAGAGTTTGAGGTTGCTGTGAGTTGTGATGCTATGGTACTCTACTGAGGGTGACATAGTGAGATTCTGTCTTAAAAAAAAAAAAAAAATTTAGAGATCACTGTTCTTTTTTTTTTTGGAGACAGGAGCCTCAAGCTGTCCCCCTGGGTAGAGTGCCATGGCATCACAGCTCACAGCAACCTCCAACTCCTGGGCTCAAGCAAGTCTCCTGCCTCAACCTCCCAAGTAGCTGGGACCACAGGCGCCCGCCACAACGCCCAGCTATTTTTTTTTTTTTGGTTGCAGCCATCGTTGTTTGGCGGGCCTGGGCTGGATTCGAACCCACCACCTTGGGTGTACGTGGCTGGTGCCTTAGCCACTTGAGCCACAGGTGCCAAGCCAGAGATCACTATTCTAAAACATGAATTATATCTCACATTAAGTGAGATCTAAATCTGTGTTTTCTAAACCTAACTCTGTTTTGAACTCAGTCCTTGTGATAATTAAATAACTTATTTTCTTTTTTTATTAACTGGCTATAGGCACCTTTAAATTTGCCATATTTTGTGGTGTGGCATTCTAAGAGTTTATTCTTTATCTTTTTCTATATATGCATAGAGAGCTAGATAATGATTTATTGCTGAAATATACTTTATGTGGTAGATATATAACTTGAAAGTAATGGTTCTTATTTCGTAGATAATTATCTTATTTTAGGCTTTATAATTTCAGCATTAGTATATTAAAATATTAGCTAAGATTAATATGCTGTGCTAGAATTAGTTAAATGATGTGCTGGAGGTGGCTCTTATTGTGTTATGAGAGCAGATTGTGTACATCTCTTCCCTGTTCCATATAACAGCCTGAAATTGGCTGTGATGGGAGTATTTACACAATGGAGATGGGCAAATTCTACAAATTATGGCTTTCTTTTCGTCTCTCACCCCACCCTAGGAGTTTGTTTAGTGCTGTAAGGTTTTCTGAGACTAATCCAAACCATGCAATAAATCATGGGAATTTCAAATCCTTTGTGAAAAAGTGTTATATGGCCAAATACATTTCAGAAATATTGCATATAGAAATGTATTCTCTTTGTTAGAGAGTTGGAAATGTCTGAACCATCTAAAATTTCTTGTACTTTATACTGTGAAGAAAGTTATTTAACTTTGAATAACTCAGTATTTTCAAAACTTGTAAAGTGTATTCACAAAACTCATTTTTATGTTATGTCTATTAATAAATAGCCCATTAAATTGGTGTTTTGCAGAGCACTCTTTGAGAAAGACACAGATAATGCTATTACTTGCTGGCTTAAAATGTGTTTTATTTTCAGCCCTTCCAAGATAACCCTGTTGGGGTCAGTTATCTTCACATTGCAGTACACCAACCATCTGGCAATATCAAAGCATAATCTTATGTTCCTTTATACCATCTTTATTGTGGCCACAAAGGTAAGAGTTCGAGATGCTTATAAGTGAGTATTATAAATCCTGTATTATCATTTCCCTTTGATAGAATCCTGCATACTGGGCAAGTAACAAGAAGTGTTTTTATTGTTATTTTATTATAATCTAAAAAGCATGTCTGTGACTTTGTGTCACAGATTTTCTGTGATTCCTCATTTGCTTAATGCTGAGGCTGTCAGGAAACACTTGCAAATAGCCAGCTAGTATATTGGAAGTCAGAGAGTAGTGGAAATAGCCAGGGCTTACCCAAGACTTCAAAGAGCGTGTTGTTTCCTTTGTGAAACGAGGTGCCTGGGGTGGAAGTTCTCTGAGCTTCCTTTAAGTACTCAAATTTCAATTTGTTATATTAGAGATTATTTGTGGTCAGTCTATTCTATTTGTCTGAGTGGAAGCTTTATTCCTTCTTGAAGATCGTATAGTGTAAGATGGTTTTAAAGAAAGGCAGTCTTGGGTTTAAATCTTAACCTTGTGGCCTAATCTCTGAATAAGCAAGTCACTAATGTCTCTCAATCCCAGTATTCTCAGTCTCTGTCACTGTACCTAATATATCTTACAAATTTTATTTGCAGCTGTATCATGGGGCTAATTCTGATAGGTATAGTTCCCTATTTATAAGTATTCAATTGATTTTAAGATAAAATTATTAGGCACAGCACCTGTAGCTCAAGTGGCTAAGGTGCCAACCATATATACCAGAGCTGGCAGGTTCTAATCCAGCCTGGGCCTGCCAAACAACAATGACAACCAACTACAACCAAAAAAAAAAAGAAAAGAAAAAATAGCTGGGCAT